TCCCGACCCTGACGATGCCTGCTGCTGCTGTATATTTGGAATCTGCGGCTCTCTCTCTCGCTCTCATCATCATCACAGTGGCTGGGAGATGTTGACTACCTCGCCTGGTGTACAGGAGGTCGGACATTCGATCCTGACCCTGACGATGCCTGCTGCTGCTGCTGTATTTTTGGAATCTGTGCGTCTCTCTCTCTCGCTCTCATCATCATCACAGTGGCTGGGAGATGTTGACTACCTCGCCTGGTCTACAGGAGGTCGGACATTCGATCCTGACCCTGACGATGCCTGCTGCTGCTGCTGCTGTATATTTGGAATCTGTGCGTCTCTCTCCCCGCGGTGGTCGCGTTCATTTTTATCCAGGCTCTTCCGCATTTCCCCCTCCACGTTTAGAATCAAACGTCACGCGTTTATAGACTACTTGGGCCGCTGCCGTCTCTGCAGCTGCTGCTGCTGCTGATGCTATAAAATGTCCACGTGACGATGATCAAGGGCACTCACTTCCAGACAGCAGCCGTTCTGAGAAACAGCTACATAGCAGGTTACAGTGTTGGCTCCTTACACGGTCAAATAAACTACGGGTCACTGCGCATCTTCATAGGGGCTCTATGCGTCTGTAAATTCCTGCCTGGTGATGATGGTGATGATGATTGTGTCACTGGGTTGACATGCTAGATGGCAGCTTCGTGGGGGGGGCTTTGCCTGGTTACAATTTTTTTTTTAAAAAGTGTAGTTTTACTTAAGTCTATGGGTCTCTGTGTATCTCTATGGGCTCCTATGCGTCTGTAATTGACATTTACACGTGGTGCTAGTGGTGGTGGTGGTGATGATGATGACGATGATGAGCCTGGCGAGTGTACAGTTGTGGTTTAGTGGAGAGTGAGGAGGCCGTGAGCGAAGGGACGCGTGGTCTGGGTCACCTGGAGGGTGACGGGTGGCAGGTGGAGCTGGGGGTGGTGGTGGTGGTGGTGAGGAAAACACGGAGCGGAGCGCTGTGGGGGGAGGAGGTGGAGGAGTCCACGTGACCCCCCCCTTCGTCACGTGGCCTCGTAACGTCGCGTGGCCTAACACCCACGTGGCCTCGTGACATCACGTGAACGCGTCACGTGGTCCCGTGACTTCATAACATCGCGTGACCTCATAACATACCGTGACCTCACAACACCGCGTGACCTCAAGGCACCGCGTGACCTCACGTCACGTGAGCTCGTCACGTGCCGTGAGCTCGTCACGTCACGTGACTTCATGAAGAACCGCGAGCTCGTCACGTGACTTCATAAAGAACCGTGACCTCGTCACGTGACTTCATGAAGAACCGTGACCTCGTCATGTCACGTGACTTCATGAAGAACCGCGAGCTCGTCACGTCACGTGACTTCATGAAGAACCGTGAACTCGTCACGTAACTTCGTGAAGAACCGTGACCTCGTCACGTAACTTCGTGAAGAACCGTGACCTCGTCACGTGACTTCGTGAAGAACCGTGAACTCGTCACGTAACTTCGTGAAGAACCGTGACCTCGTCACGTGACTTCGTGAAGAACCGTGACCTCGTCACGTGACTTCGTGAAGAACCGTGACCTCGTCACGTGACTTCGTGAAGAACCGTGACCTCGTCACGTGACTTCGTGAAGAACCGTGAACTCGTCACGTGACTTCGTGAAGAACCGTGACCTCGTCACGTGACTTCGTGAAGAACCGTGACCTCGTCACGTGACTTCGTGAAGAACCGTGAACTCGTCACGTAACTTCGTGAAGAACCGTGACCTCGTCACGTGACTTCGTGAAGAACCGTGACCTCGTCACGTGACTTCGTGAAGAACCGTGAACTCGTCACGTAACTTCGTGAAGAACCGTGACCTCGTCACGTCACGTGACTTCATGAAGAACCGTGACCTCGTCACGTGACTTCATGAAGAACCGTGACCTCGTCACGTGACTTCATAAAGAACCGTGACCTCGTCACGTGACTTCGTGAAGAACAGTGACCTCATCACGTCACGTGACTTCGTGAAGAACCGTGACCTCGTCACGTGACTTCATGAAGAACCGTGACCTCGTCACGTGACTTCGTGAAGAACCGTGACCTCGTCACGTGACTTCGTGAAGAACCGTGACCTCGTCACGTGACTTCGTGAAGAACCGTGACCTCGTCACGTCACGTGACGTCCAACACCTTTACACAATCACCAAGTGGTGACACACAAAGACAAAGGTCCCCCGGGTAGCCTAGACGGACTGCTCGGGCAAGGTGATGTTAGAGAGCACACGAGGGAGGGAGGGGTGGGTGGGTGGTAAACACCGCAACCCCGCCACGGCCGCCTTTGTCTCTCCCAGAGTGGCGATGTGTTTTTTTGTTTGCTTGACACACCGCAACAGCGAGGAGACGGGGGTGGGGGAGGGGGCGACGTTTCGGGTCACTTGCCTCCTTCGCCGCGGAGAGGGGGTGAGACGAGCGGGTGGGTTGGGGAAGGGTGAGTGAGCGAGTGGGTGGGTGAGTGGGTGAGTGAGTGGGTGGGTGAGTGAGTGATTGGGTGAGTGAGTGAGCGAGTGGGTGGGTGAGTGGGTGGGTGGGCGAGTGGGTGAGTGAGTGGGTGGGTGAGTGGGTGAGTGAGTGGGTGGGTGAGTGAGTGGGTGAGTGAGTGGGTGAGTGGGTGGGTGAGTGGGTGAGTGAGCGGGTGAGTGGGTGAGTGAGCGAGTGGGTGGGTGAGTGAGCGAGTGGGTGGGTGAGTGAGCGAGTGGGTGGGTGAGTGGGTGAGTGAGGAGTGGGTGAGTGGGTGAGTGAGCGAGTGAGTGGGTGAGTGAGTGGGTGAGTGAGCGATTGGATGGGTGAGTGGGTGAGTGAGCGAGTGAGTGGGTGAGTGAGTGGGTGAGTGAGCGATTGGATGGGTGGGTGAGTGAGTGAGTGGGTGAGTGACTGAGTGGGTGGGTGAGTGAGTGACTTAGCGAGTGGGTGGGAGGGTGAGTGAGTGACTTAGCGAGTGGGTGGGTGGGTGAGTGAGTGGGTGAGTGAGTGGGTGAGTGGGTGGGTGGGTGGGTGAGTGAGTGAGTGGGTGAGTGGGTGAGTGAGTGGGTGAGTGGGTGAGTGAGCGAGTGGATTGGTGAGTGGGTGAGTGAGTGAGTGGGTGAGTGCGTGGGTGGGTGAGTGACTGAGTGGGTGGGTGAGTGACGTAGCGAGTGGGTGGGAGGGTGAGTGACTGAGTGGGTGAGTGACTTAGCGAGTGGGTGAATGAGTAGGTGGGTGGGTGGGTGAGTGGGTGGGTGGGTGAGTGACTGAGTGGGTGAGTGACTGAGTGGGTGAGTGACTTAGCGGGTGGGTGAGTGAGTGGGTCGGTGAGTGGGTGAGTGACTGACTGAGTGGGTGAGTGACTTAGCAAGTGAGTGGGTGGGTGAGTGGGTGGGTGAGTGGGTGGGTGAGTGACTGAGGGGGTGAGTGACTTAGCGAGTGGGTGGGTGAGAGTGACTGAGTGGGTGAGTGACTTAGCGAGTGGGTGAGTGACTGAGTGGGTGGGTGAGTGGGTGGGTGAGTGACTTAGCGAGTGGGTGGGTGAGTGGGTGAGTGAGTGGGTGAGTGACTGAGTGGGTGAGTGAATTAGCGAGTGGGTGGGTGAGCGACTGAGTGGGTGAGTGACTTAGCAAGTGGGTGGGTGGGTGAGTGAGTGGGTGGGTGAGTGAGTGGGTGGGTGGGTGAGTGAGTGGGTGGGTGAGTGACTGAGTGGGTGAGAGACTTAGTGAGTGGGTGAGTAACTGAGTGGGTGGGTGAGTGGGTGGGTAAGTGACTGAGTGGGTGAGTGGCTTAGCCAGTGGGTGAGTGGGTGAGTGACTGAGTGGGTGAGTGACTTAGCGAGTGGGTGGGTGAGTGGGTGAGTGGGTGGGTGGTTGAGTGACTTAGCGGGTGGCTGAGTGAGTCGGTGAGTGGGTGAGTGACTGACTGAGTGGGTGAGCGACTTAGCAAGTTAGTGGGTGAGTGGGTGGGTGAGTAGGTGGGTGAGTGGGTGGGTGAGTGACTGAGTGGGTGAGTGACTGAGTGGGTGAGTGACTTAGCGAGTGGGTGGGTGAGTGGGTGGGAGAGTGACTGAGTGGGTGAGTGACTTAGCAAGTGGGTGAGTGAGTGGGTGGGTGAGTGGGTGGATCAGTGGGTGGGTGAGTGACTTAGCGACTGTGAGTGGGTGGGTGAGTGGGTGGGTGAGTGACTGGGTGAGCTGGTGAGTGACTGAGTGGGTGAGCAGGTGAGTGACTGAGTGGGTGAGTGACTTAGCGAGTGAGCTGGTGAGTGTCTGAGTGTCTGAGTGGGTGAGTGACTAAGCGAGTGGGTGGGTGAGTGACTGAGGGGGTGAGTGACTTAGCGAGTGGGTGAGTGGGTGAGTGACTGAGTGAGTGACTTAGCGAGTGAGTGGGTGAGTGGGTGGGTGAGTGGGTGGGTGAGTGAGTGGGTGAGTGACTGGGTGGGTGAGTGACTGAGTGGGTGAGTGACTTAGCGAGTGGGTGGGTGAGTGACTGAGTGAGTGACTGAGTGACTTAGCGAGTGGGTGCGTGAGTGAGTGGGTGAGTGAGTGGGTGAGTGACTGAGTGGGTGAGTGAGTGGGTGACTGAGTGGGTGGGTGAGTGACTGAGTGGATGACCTAGCGAGTGACTGAGTGGATGACTTAGCGAGTGACTGAGTGGATGACTTAGCGAGTGACTGAGTGGATGACTTAGCGAGTGACTGAGTGGATGACTTAGCGAGTGACTGAGTGGATAACTTAGCGAGTGACTGAGTGGATGACTTAGCGAGTGACTGAGTGGATGACTTAGCGAGTGGGTGGGTGAGTGACTGAGTTGGTGGGTGAGTGACTGAGTGGGTGAACTGGTGAGTGAATGAGTGAGTGGGTGAACTGGTGAGTGACTGAGTGGGTGAGTGAGCTGGTGAGTGACTGAGTGGATGACTTAGCGAGTGACTGAGTGGATGACTTAGCGAGTGACTGAGTGGATGACTTAGCGAGTGCGCGCGTGAGAGATCCTCACCTGATCGGAGCGATGAGCGCAGCCGGTCTCCGTTGTCACGTGGCCGATATTATACAGATCAGAGGACGTGACGTCACCTCAACGTCCTGACGTCACCTCAACGTCCTGACGTCACCTCAACGTCCTGACGTCACCTCAACGTCCGGACGTCACCTCAACGTCCTGACGTCACCTCAACGTCCTGACGTCACCTCAACGTCCTGACGTCACCTCAACGTCCTGACGTCACCTCAACGTCCTGACGTCACCTCAACGTCGCGACGTCACCCCCAACGTCGCGACGTCATTTCAACGGTCCGACGTCATTTTAACGTTCTGACGTCACCTCAGCGTCCTGACGTCACCTTAGCGTCCTCACGTCACCTCAACGTCGCGACGTCACCCCCAACGTCCTGACGTCACCTCAACGTCCTGACGTCGCCCCGTGTGTGTGTGTCAGTGTGGGGAGCGGTGGTGTAGTGGTTAGCGCTACGCTGCGCTACGAACCTGGCCACCCGAGTTCGATTCCCGCTCACGGCCAACACCACCAGTGACGATTATCTGAACCGGTCGCGGGCCTCCCCTAGGTCGACTCAGCCTCAAATGAGTACCTGGTGAAATAATTTTAGTGGGTGATCTAAATTGGAATTGGCTAAACCCGCCGGCCGTGGCCACAAATTTTTACAGATTAATTTAACTTGTTTCAATTAATAAATGTCCCCACAAGACCCAACCTAAAAAATCCGGGACAGTCAACTCTGCTTGACGTCCTATTGACAAATGCCCCTCACAATTTCTCACTGACTGGTGTTCTGGGTAATAACCTTAGTGATCACTCCTTCATTTTTGGTGTGAGATCATCAGCCAGACCCAAAGCCCCCCCTAAAATTGTTGAGAAGCACTCTTTGAGGCATTTCAGCAGTCAGGCATTTACAAATGATGTGCTTCACTCGGATCTTGACAAGGTCTGTGATATCCCCAACCTGACTACGGCTTGGGAGACTTCCAGGTACACGTTTCTCCAAATTCTTAACAAACATGCTCCGTTGGTTAGATTTAAAACTAAAGGCAACCGCCCACCATGGTTTGATCCTTTGATTACAAAGCTCATGAAAACTAGGGACAAGGCTTGGGCATGTGCTCAAAAAAGTAATTTGGTAAATGACTGGCTAGAATACAGGGTTTTAATGAATAGATGCGTAAAAAAAATACGGCATGCAAAAAAATGCCTATTTTTCCTCCACTCTCCTGGAATCACATTCGAAATGCCAGGATTTTCTGGAAAACAATCAAATCTATCGAAAAGGCATCCAAAACAGAAAATCTGCCCGCTGAACTTCACCGAAATGGGGGAATATTTTTCAGATCCCAAAAAAATAGTTGACAATTTTAACCTTCATTTTTCTGAAGCTGGAAATCTTTTTGATAATGTATTGGGAGTCACCCCTGCTCCTGCAAATTCCTACACCCCTGTCTAAACAGTTAACGAATTTAGTTTCCAACCAATCCACAACTGTCCTACCTCAAAGGGTCTTCCTCTACCGGAGCAGAGAGTTTTCCCGTCTTTGCTCTACTAACTGTTGGTCACCTAATATACAAACCTATAGCCCATATTTTCAACCTGTCCATCAAAGAAGCATCATTTTCCTCTAGAATGGAAACATTCCTATGTCCGTCCACTTCACAAAGGGGGCCCTAAATATTATCCCAATAACTACCGACCTATCTCAATTTTGTCCTCATTGATGAAAATTTTTGAAAAATTATTGAACTACCAAATTAGCAGTTTCCCGTCCACCAACAATCTACTACATCTAAAACAATCTGGGTTCCGGAAAAAAATACAGCACCACATCTGCTGCATTAGACTCTTTGAATCAAATTTACAATAGCCTTGATAATAAGCAGTACTGTGCCTGTCTTTTTCTTGACCTGTCCAAAGCTTTTGATACAGTAGACCACAACACCCTGCTTAGTAAACTAAGTTGCCTCGGTTTTTTCCGAGAACACAGTAAAATGGTTAAAAAATTACCTCTTTTCTCGCACCCAAACTGTATTCACAGATGGTTGGAGGTCAAACAGTGTTAAGATAACAAAAGGGGGTTCCACAGGGTTCCATCCCCGGCCTCCTCTTGTTCTCTCTTTATGCCAATGACTTGGGCACTGATCTGGATCATTCCAGGGTCAATCTTTTTTGCAGATGACACGATACTGATTACTGCTGGCCGCTCTCCGGATGACGTGATTGCTAAGCCCCAGGGTGATTTCGACAAAACTACAACATCAGCTAGTTAAACTAGTCCTGAATACCTCCAAAACCAAGGTGCTATGCTTCTCTCCGGGACTAAAGCAGGAAGTTATTTTTCCCCAATTACGTTCCTTGAATAATTATCAAATAGAGCACGTCAAGATCTATAAGTATTTTGGGGTCATCCTGGATTCAAAACTTAGTTTTGAAGATCACATTGGTTATATTGGTAAAAGGAAAAAAATAAAAATTGGTTTTCTGTATCGACACAAGCACTGCTTCCCCCCAATGCTCCGTTTGGAATTGATAAAAGCTACCAAACTGCCTCTACTTGATTACTGTGACATCGTGTATAAATCAGCCCCAAGTACTGTACTGAAGAAGCTTGATTCCATCTATCACTCGGCCTTAAGATTTACATTGAACTGCCCATATAGGACTCACCACTGTGATCTCTACATTGGGTCAAACTTAACATCAAACTTAATGTTCGACGGCTTGTGCACCAGATCTTATTTATTCACGATGTACTTACAAAAAAATCCGCAGACTACCTGCTGCTGGATCTCCTCTCTGTTTCAAAGAACAAATTTGACCTCAGGTCTTCGCTCATTTACCAGCTTCACATTCCCTATTGCCGTACAAAAACTGGAGGAAGGGCCTTTGCTATTGATGCCCCCAGGGTCTGGAATGCTATTGCCAATAAACTGCAACTTGAATCACTACCTATGAGATCTTCACTCAAAACTGTTCTAGAGGAGCTGTACACCCCTAGCTGCCACTGCTATTCAGTGGCCTAAAATATGGCTCTAGATTTTGGTGTTATAATTTATTTACGTAGTTTATTGTTAAAAATTCGGTCACAGTCCCTATGATCACTGTTACATTGGATTTATGGCTTTTAGTTTGGTGATTTCGAAAACGTTTTTTTTTGTTTTGGCCGTGTTAATGTTTATTGTAGTACGGAGTTAGACTGATGGCCTTAATCTTAGTTGTCTTGTGGTTGTTGTTGTTGTTAGTTGACTTGCATCCCACTGGGATTTTTGCACACAGCGTTGGTGTACGGTGCTATTTCAGGAATATTTTGATGTTTATTTTCCTGTATTTTCTGTTTGCACAGTCACACAAAGTCACTTTAAGATGTTTTTCTTGTTCATGTCCTTTTCGTTTGTTGCGGTTGCACCTGATTCAAGAGCCGCATGGCTCACACAGGGCCATACCAACATAAATGAAAACTATGAACTATGGTGCGTGGTAAACATCGCCACTGGGGGAGACAAAGGCGGTCGGGCGTGGTGCTGGCCACCCACCCCCTCGTGTACCGTTACCGGCCTTCATAGGTGCTGCTCGCTAACAGCACTTGCCCCTACAGTCTGTTCAGGCTACACGGGGGATCTTTGTCAATGTGTGTGGATGTCTTACCATCAGCCCCACCAAAACTAAGCACCTGCCTGGGTATTTTGAACCATCGGACGCTCCACCCCCACAACTCCCAATCGGTGATGGGGCAGTTGTGGAGAGAGTGGAGAGTTTCCCATACCTGGGCAGTGTGCTTATGACCGGCTTCCGTTTAACAGCAGAGGTCTCACTCCGAATCAGTCGAGCGGCAATATCTTTTCATCGGTTGCGTAATGCTGTGTGGAAGCTACCTGGTCTGTCGCTCCGCACTAAGCTTCAGGTCTTCTCGGCCACGGTCATTCCCTCCCTTCTCTACGCTTGCGAAACGTGGACCCCCCCCCCCCCCTAATGAAACATCTTCGCCGGTTGGAAACATTTAGGCTGGCCTGCCTACGATCCATCCTGGGTTTAACCAGACTGGATTGTGTGGGGAGCTCAAACATCCTTGAAAGATCTGGGCACGGTCCCATTGGTGAGCTCCTCCGGCAGGCAAGGCTGCGATGGCTGGGCCATGTAGCCCGCATGCCCAGCCATCGCATGCCTAAACAGCTTTTGTTCGGCCGGATCGAGGGGGCTAAACGGGCGCGGCACGGGCTAGAGAAGAGATGGAGTGATGTGGTACAGGAGGACGTGGAGCTGAGTGGACTTGCCGATGACTGGTACCAGCGGTGTCAATATCGGCCTCTGTGGAGGAGGCTCGTGAAGGACGCTACTGGGCAGTTGGAGGCAGTCGCCCTCCAACAACAACGGAGGGCGGAGGAGCGACGCTCACAACAAAGAGCGGAGCGCTGGGTGGCTAAAGGACAGTAGGTTGGCACAGTAGGGGGCACAGGTGGTGCATCAGCCAGTCATCTCAGTCAGTCGACCCGTGGCACCTGGGTCTGCCCCGTGACCTCCTGCCAGCGGGCGTTCGACACTTCACGTGGCCTCAAGCTGCACCTAGCCTGGCACAAGCGCCGTGGTGACGTCACCGCCGCTTAATGGCGAATGGCGGTTGTTGTTGTACAGCGAAGTAGGTTCCACACCGACTCCGTCTTATAGAGCTAAAGGCAACAAATCCCACTCCCAGTGTAGCCTCAACGGGCTGTTTGGGGCAAGTGCATCGTGGATGTGGCTTATGGCCACGACTCACACACCGCGTGAACCCGTACGGTTTACCCCGCATTCTCCTACCGGGGAACTTGAGTTTTTAAGTCCGTACAGGGTACAGCCGTTAGAATACGGGGCAAAAAAGTATGAATTGTGTATTGCCTTATGAAGCTGGTTGTAATCGCTGATGAAACGTCGTACTTAAATTGTAAATGTTACACCAGTGTGCCGTACTAGTATATTACACTATACACTACACTATGTACACTACTACACACTACACTATATACTACACACTACACTACACTATACACTACTACACACTGCACTATACACTACACTATACACTACACTACTATACACTACTACACACTACACCATACACTACACTACTATACAC